GTTCCGCCTGCGGGGGCTCGTCCTGCGCCCGTGAGTAGCACCGGGCCCTCACCCTGCTCTGGATCCTGCTCCGGACCCGCTTGGCCCCCGGGGATCGGCCCCGGGCGGGCCTCGGGCCCGGGCTGCGGTGGGACGGGATGGGGCCGGGGCCGCTCCGCATCCCCTCTTCGGGATGTGCTGCTGCCTTTCCCTCCTCTGCCTCCTCCCCCCGCAGCGAGGCCTCCGGAGGCTCCTCCAAAGCCATCTTTTGCCTGTCCTGCTGCTGCGGGCCCCTTCCTTCCGTCTGTCCATCCCTCTCATAACCGTGGGTGCCACCAAAAGCTGCCCGTGGTCTCCCCTTGGAACCCTCCCTAATGCTGGTGCCGGGTGTTTGGTTGAGTTTTTTTGTCTGCCTCTGACCCTGACAACTCTGGAATCTCGTTCCGAGTTCCGCTTGCCAGTCTCGTGCTCAGCATTCTTTGCTGGAGGAAGAAATGGCATTTCCAAAGACAGGGATGCTGTATTTCCAAATATAATAGGATGTACTGTTTAGAGATGCCAAGGTCAATGAAAAGGGATTCCGGTTTGCAGTGGAAGGTGTCATGATTTCTAAGAGACTGGGTCTCCCTTTGCTCTTGTTTTCCCTTTATTTCTCGTGTGTCAATATCAGTTAAATTCTCTTTCTGTCGTGGATGGGATGTGATTAATTTGGACAGTGCCCTGATACTTTCATTAGAGAGGAGCACAAGTCCAGAACTCCTGACTCCACAGTTCATGAGATGAGACATTTTGAAGGTCAGGCTGATAACCAAAATGCCAGTTTGGTTGGCCAACAGATGGCATTAATAAGAAAATTGTTATCTTTAATGTGAGACTCTAGTCTAAGGTTGAGGGAAGAACCGAATTTCTAAATCCTGTGTTATTGAGAATTGAAATAGTGCCACTGGAGCAGATCCTGTGGGGGCTGTTGAGGTGGTCCTGGGCTGGAGGCCGTGGTGTGTGAGGGAAGCTGGAAGAGCTGGAAGTTCTGCTTTGGTGACATCCCAGCTTCAGGACTGCAAACAGGTTTGGAGTCCAAAATGAGAGGGACATGGAGATACTGCAATGAATCCAGGGAGGCCACGGAGCTGCTCCAAGGACTGGAGCCCCTCTGCTCTGGAGGCAGGCTGGGAGAGCTGGGAATGCTCGCCTGGAGAGGAGAAGGATCCAGGGAGAGCTCAGAGCCCCTTGCAGGGCCTGAAGGGGCTCCAGGAGAGCTGGAGAGGGACTGGGGACAAGGGATGGAGGGACAGGACACAGGGAATGGCTCCCAGTGCCAGAGGGCAGGGATGGATGGGATACTGGGAACTGGGAATTCCTGGCTGTGAGGGTGGGGAGGGGCTGGGCTGTCCCTGGATCCCTGGAAGTGTCCAAGGCCAGGTTGGACACTGGGGCTTGGAGCAGCCTGGGACAGTGGAAGGGCCAATTCCATGGCAGGGAGTTGGAATGGGATGAGCTTTAAGGTCCCTTCCAATCCAAACCATTCTGGAATTCCATGATTAGAGGATTAGAGAGTAGTTTTTAGTAGTTCTAGATATACAAACAAACATTCTTTAAAACCGTGACATGGAGAGGATGTGAAGGATTTGGGTTTTTATTTAGCCTCAGGAAGGGAAGATTCATGAGGAGCTAATCCCAGTATTCCTAAAAGTGAGAAGTGTTCTCAAGGATGCACAGTGACAGGGCAAGAGACAACGGGCACAAGCTTAATTTAATTCTTCATTGTAATAGTAATTAAACTTTGAAGTTGATGGAGAAGTGCTGGAATCTCCCTCACTGGAAATACTCAAGGCTTGGCTCCACGGGGTCCTTGAGCATAACTCAAGCCCTGCTTTCAGGAGAAGGTTGGACCACTCTGTCTCCAGAATTCCCTTCCAACATGGAATTTTTGTATGAAGCTGAGATTCTCCACGACTTTCCCCTGATATTTTCAATCCCAGTGATTTTCTTCTTTGACTTAAACCAACGTGCTGTTATGCAGTAATAATTATTTCTGCTTTTTAACCACAAGCCATGTGGTGATGATGTGCACACCTGCCAAAATCAGCACAGTTTGTGGAAACTATTGAATATTAATCGCTTTTTGTGCTTTCTCCTCTGGGATTAGGGATGCCCTGAAGTATCTCATTGAAGCTTTCCAGTCCACCAGTGAGGGAGAACTTGATGATATAATTGAAAATGTCATCGATGCAGTTGAAAAACAGCCTTGTAAGTAAACAATTCCTTTTTCTTCAGCCAGTTTTCCTGGCATTTCTGATGTTATCAAGACAAAGACAGTTACTGGCGGCAGAAGCACTGAGGTGTCATTGTAGTGACAAAGGGTTGATTGAGATAAATGTATATTTTTGCCTTTTATTTTGGTTAAACACTCAAGTTTGCAATGTCAGCAACAGACATTTGTGCCATTTAAGGAGCTGGCAGTGCAGAATATCCTGACTTTTCCAAGAGCGGTCAAATTTTTCAGTGACAGTTACTAAAACTTTGTCTGGACATCTTTGCACCTGAAACTGTAATTTTAAATATTAAAATGGGAGAGACACTATTCACACATGGAGTGACAGGACACAAGGAATGGTTTCCTACTGCCAAAGGGCAGGGTTAGATGGGATATTGGGAAGGAATTCTTCCCTGGGAGGGTGGGGAAGCCTTCAAACTAATTTCAATTATTGGTTTAAATCCATGAGAACAACAATGTGCCCATCTCCAGAATTGTGTTGGAATACTTATGGCAGCAATCCGTGTGATAATGTTCTGGAACCAAATTAACCTCCAGAATGTGAAAGCTCAGCTCTAACACACTTGAGATATATTTGGCAGCTTTGCATAAACTGTAATTGTCTTGTTCTCCATGTTTAGGGAATTCAGGGTGGGCCCAGTGTGTGGGGGGTATTTTTTCCCTGGGAATGTGTCCTTTTGGTGGCAATATTAAGTGATCCATCTGTGTGTCATCACAGAAAACACCTGTTATTTGTGTGTATTCCCGTGAGGAGACTCAGCCACTTGAGGTGGAACATTGGAGACTCACTTCCTTCCTTGCTGCAGGTTTAATCCTTGGGATTTTTCTTTCCAGTGTCATCCAATATGATCGAGCAGCCCTTGGTGGAAGCAGCTGTCCAGGAATGCAGCCGGGCCGCGGATGAAGCGATGTAGGGTGACATTATAAATCCTCCTGGGAGTTCTGGGAGCTGCTGTTATTTCCTTCTTCCTCCTGAACACCAGGCATTTTCTGCCCTGCTCCTCTCACTGCTCTGTGCTTTTGCCTTCCTCTGCTCCAGGTCGCTCCTTGGAGCGTTTGTTCTCCTGGCTGGGCCTCCAGGGGGTTCTGGATATGATCTGACTTGCTGGAATTCACCTGCTGGGGTTGTGTGTGCTGTGTGCCACAGGTTGAATATTAACCAGCACTTCTGGCCATGCTTTATTTGCTTTGCTCTACATGAAAGTTATCTCGGGTTGCTTTTGTTCCTTTCTTTTCTGAAAGCACTTTGGAAAATTTTTCCCTGTGGGGTGCTTGCTCCTGCTTTTTTGTTTAGTTTTTTTGAAGCCCTGATTGATTTCCTTTCTGTGATAACAAAGTGTGGAGCAGTTACTGGAGTTTCTGAGAACTTTGTGATCCTGATGGATGTGTTTCCTTTCGTGTTCACATCGTGATGCAAAGCATGAAAAGAGATGGTTTGATGGGCATGTCAGTTAGATCCTGTCACCCCACAGCCTCTCAGGATGGAGAAGATTTGGGTTTAACTTTGCTCCTTGCTGCTGGAATCTTTACAATGCAGATGGTTTGAGTGTGACTTTCCTTTTTGGTGCTTTTTTGTACCTAATGTAGGGGTTTTTTTCCTCCACAAGTGAAAGAAATCCATATGTACAGATTCTCAGTGCAGAGTCCTGAAGGAAAAAGCTCTACAGATCACAGGGAGAAGTCTTTTTAATTATTTAACTAGAAGATGCAGGAGAAAATAGAATAGAAAATAGACTAGAAAACAGACTATAAAATAGAAAGAGAAATGGTGATGGTAGTGAACAAAACAAATGCCATTTTATCCAACATACTTGTTAGTTTGTTTCATTCACTTCAAGGAGTCACAGAATGGCTGTGGTTGGAAGGTAACATTCAGTTAATGCTGTAACTGTTCTCATTTCAGAGAAAATGTTTTCAACATTATTGGAGCCTTTGACATTCCACGTTTTATTTATAATTCAGAAAGAAAGAAGTTTCTGCCGTAAGTCTCCCATATTTTAAGTTTCAAGCACTTCCTGTTTTAAGAGCAAAGCCTCAATTTCTATAGGATAAGTCTGGTTTTAATCTTTCCCTTTCAACTGAACCCTGAGAAAGGTAATAAATGTTTAAGACCATAAACCAAGTTTATGCCACCTAATGAATAAAAAAGACAGTAAGGCTAAGGACATACATCACGAAAGGTAGTTTGGGGTTATTTTTTTTCTCACATTGGGCTGTTGAAATTTATTTTTTTAATAAATTTGATCTGTCTGTTGCCTGTATTTACTTCTTAGTCTGTAATCTTGCAGCTCCCTGAAGCCCTGGGGGTTTTCTAAGGAGAGCTCCAAACGGAAAAGAAAAATTAGGAGCAGCTTTTGTTCACAACTGCTTAAAGGCATAACTGCTTTTTTAAAAATGGATTTCTGCAGAGGTCTCTTTGGGTGGAAGGATAAATCTCAAGGCCTGTGAGTTAGAGGGGAATGAAATGGATGCAGAAATGCATAAACACAGGATCCTGAGCAGGAACGTCCCTCAGGGAGTACCTAAATCATGCTGCAGCTTTTGCAGCCTCCCAGACCATTTAGATCAATAACCCATTTTTATGTGTGGAATATCGCTTTTTAAAACTCTGACTGTGTCAATTCCTTGCAGCCTGTCCATGACTGACCTGCCTAGGCCGAGTTTATTTGGCACTGCCAGGGACAAGGCGGAGCTGTTCCGGGAGCGCTACTCCATCCTCCAGCAGGTCAGCAATCTCTGCAGGTGTCCACAGGGATGTATCCCACATCTCCTTCCAAAAATACATCCTGCTGCTGCACCTCTCTGCCTCACAAACCCTCTGCCTTCCAGCCTGTCACAAATAACTTCTTGTAGCAGCCTTACAGATGCTTTTGTGACGCTTTTTTTAGGCTTGGTTTTATCACCTGCTGCATTTTTTTAGGTTTAGTTTTATTATCCAGTGTCATTGGTCATCAGTTTCTTGGAAACGAATTCTTGTCAAAAGGACTGAATTATTAAAAGTTGCTGGATGAAATAGAGTGAGAGCTTTCTGAAGTGTTTTGCATGGTGCTTGTAGCAAACTGGCTTTTTAAAAGTTAACAAACTCACTTGTTTTTAAACTGAATCACTTCAATTTCGGTTTCTGCAGAGGATTCACAGACATGAGCTGTTCACTCCTTCACCAGTTGCTGCTCATCCTGATGATAGCAAGAGCAAATTTCAGGTAAAAAATGGAGTTCTGTCCAGTTTTAATCCAAAAAATCACACCAGCTCTTTATGCTAGCAGCCACTATTGGGAATTTTCTCCTAAGCCCCATTCAGAAATGTGGCTGTGATTTTTGTAATGAGCCTGGCTCATTGTGGGTTTCTGTTAAACCAAGTCCTGTGTGGGGCTTTGCCTGGCCTGACAAAAGGCACCTGGAGAGTTTGATTTGTTTCTGACTGGATTCTTTGCCTTCCATCCCAGCTCAAGACAGTTGAAACTCTCCTGGGCAATACAGCTAAAATGGAAGAAGTGATTGTGCTTGGGATGATGACTCAGCTCAAGGAGGTGAGTTCCTTTTTATTGTGGAGTCTCTGATCACTGCTCATTCGGTGCTGTAATACATTAAAAAATGAGAAAACTTCAATATCTCACACTTGACCCATTCTCAGAGACTTCTCCACAAGCACTTGGTGCCAGTGTGTGTGGAAATGTCTTTCTTTGTCTTCACACTCTAAAATTTTTTTATGTCAGGAAGCAGAAGCAGTTAGGGTTTTTTGGCATGTCCCTGCTTGAGAGGCTGGAGCTTCCAGTGGCTGAGTTTGGACTTGCCAATGCCCTGAACTGTGATTTTAGGGAGGGGAGCACCAGCAATCCCAACTGCAGCAGCTCCCAGGGAAGTGCTGAGATACATTTACTTAATGTAAATACATATTTATAAACTAAATTATTTGCCTGCTTAAACCATTAAACCCAGCCCAATTATTTTAAAATGCTGACTGATAGATGCTTCTGATTGAAGCATTTTTGTGTTTGATATATTTTGCTTTATTAATGAATCCTGTTTTTTAGGGGAAATTTTTCCTAGAAGACCCCACAGGAGTGGTCCAGCTGGACCTTAGTAAAGCAATATCCTTTTGCTGTGATGGAAGAGCTAGAGGAATTTCCTGTAAACCTGCAGGATTTTCAATTGAACAGTAAATCAATGCTGACCATTAAAAATTACATATTGAGAGCTGCAGCTCTGTCTTTCTCCTTCATTTCCAATTCCTTGGCTGCTGCAGCTCCTGCCTTTCTCTTTCACTTTTCCTCCCCATGGAAGCAGAGCCTGTTCCAGTTCCTGGGCTCTCTCTGGAGTTACCTGCTCAGGTAGCAGGGAATTTCCAGGCTCTTCAGTCAGCCTGTGAACTTTCAGTGCTGTCCAGATCTATTACACCAGCTGGAAAGCAAATTTTAGTTAAAAAACCTACTTTAAATCTAAGAAAAACACATTCCTTAACCTTCCTGCACCAGTTCCACAGTGGGTTATACACTGAATCCTGCTTTGTTCTGGCAGAAGGTAAAACAGACTGGGTTTATTTTTTAGCTTGTAATAAACTATTCTGTTAAAGCTGTGGCTGAGCAGAGAAGTCTCGTTTTGGTGACCATCAGTGACTGAGATTTTTGGCCTTCAGTTTTTTCTGGGACCTGGTGGACTCTGGAGGCAGAAAGGAGGAATTTGTGGGTGTTGGGGGATGTGAGGGTCTGGAGCAGCTTGGAGGGTTGGCCCCAGCATGCTTGGAGAAGTTATGGCTGGATTAGGAAAACAGCCTAGAATAACCAAGGGAATGATTTAACAATCTGAAAATGCTGCTTTGTGCTGGCAAGGCTTTGGTCCTTTAATGAGGCTTCTCATTAGGATGATGTAAGGGCTTGCAGTTTTGGAGCCTTCTTTTAGCAAAAAAAAAAAAAAAAAAAAAAAAAGAAAAAGCAAGCTATTTCTGTATGTGGAACGTTCCTCTGTGCAAGATCCATGATCTCAGTCTTTTTTCTAGCGTGTTTTATGTTTGTAAGTAGAAGTTGGGAGCAGAAATGAGAGTGGGGATAAATAAATATCCCTACTGTTCCTTCTGATCTCAACAGTGGGATGTGAGACAAGGAGCAGTTGGATGGGGTTGCCTTTCCAGGACAGGGCCAGCAAAATGATTCCTGTTCCCCTGCATTGCTCCTCCTTGACTTGAGGGGGTGGTTCATGTGGCTGTGCAGAAAATCCATTCACAGATGTGGCTGGGGTTTAAAAAAACACCTTGGTTTCTTGCTCAGCCCTTTTTCCACCCGGATCATTCCGTGCTCCGGTTCTGTGGAGCTGCCACAAGAGAGGGATTGATGGAGGCTGGGGCTGGCAGTGTAGCACTGTTGCCAACTCTCTGACTAATGTCTAGGACATGATGCTGTTAGAAAAACTGAAGTTATTTTGCTGTTCCAAAACCTCCTAGGTTGGTATGAAGATAAAGTTTTTCATGTGAACGCTTTTGGATTTCCGCCCACTGAGCCTTCTGCTACCACGAGGTACAAAAGTGACTTTTGGCAGCCTCACTCCATGTTTTCCTATGGGTTTCTAAGTAAGATCATTGTTATTTTGTAATTTTTCTGACATTCAAGTATGTTATTTTTCCTCCTCTCCAAATGCTTTAAAATAAATATCATTTTAAGGAAGCAGTTCTGGGACTTACAGGCACTAAAGTCTGTAGTGTTGGCAGAAAAAACCCTTCCAAAGGCCTTTGGGTGCTGCATATTAATAAAAATTGGGATGTAAATCCTTCTCAATTGCAAAGCCAGGTAACAGTTACATGGGAATAATAAATTCCTTGTTGCTGGGAGAATGGATCCCTGGGAGAGTGGATGTTGTTGCTGCCCATGGCAGGAGCTGAGATGGGATGATCTTTAAGGTCCCTTCCAATAAATTATTGGACAGGTTTTAATTTTAATGAAATTGAAATTAAATTTAATTTTTAATTTAATTAATTTCAATTTTTAATTAATCCCAAGCCATTCTGGGATCCTAACTGGAACATTTTAATGATGCAGAGCCTTCTATGGGAATATAAACTTCTTTGGAGGGCCTTCCTCATCATCAGTGAAGGCTTCTGCAAAGCTGAAACAGCTGGAGGAGGAGAATGAAGATGCCATGTTTGTGTTTGTGTCTGATGTGTGGCTGGACCAAGCAGAAGTGCTGGAAAAGCTTCACACGATGTTTTCAGGTAGGTGAGAATTGCTTTCACTCTAAACTTTGTTTTTATAATGTGTTTCCATCGATTCTTTGTACAAATAGAGTTTTGAGCAGTAGCCATCTTCTGGGCTGGGATAGGAATGTTTTCCTTGCTCCTGAAAGTTCTTCCTGGGTTTTTTTCTTAAAGACAACTCCTTACTTCAGAGAGATGAACGTTGCTTCCCAGAGGGAAGGGCTAGGTGGGATATTGGGAAGGAATTCCTGGCTGGGAAGATGGGGAGGCCTGGGAATAGAATTCCCAGAGGAGCTGTGGCTGTCCCTGGATCCCTGGGAGTATCCAGGCCAGGTTGGACAGGGTTTGGAGCAGCCTGGGACAGTGGGAGGTGTCCCTGCCATGGCAGTTGGAATGGGATGATCTCTAATGCCCCAACCCAACCCATTCCAGGATTCTGGAATCAGTAACGTGGACAACACAGGGCAAAACAGGCATTTATGAATTGCTCCTTTGTATTGCAGCAGTTTTGGAGCAGCTTGTCCCTCGTGCCTCAGGCAGAATGGAAGTGTGAGAGAGTGACTGGTTTAAAAACAACACCGAATTCAGGCTGGGAAACTGCTCCTCAGCAAAAGGGAACTGGACACAAATTAGCAGAGTCATGCAGAAGTTACAAAACCAGTTCAGTATCTGGGTCAGAGCCGGCAAATCTTTGGGACAAACTGGGCTTGACCCAGGATTGGAAGTGCTGAGGGCAGAAAGGGACTTTGGTCAGTGAAATTCGTGTGCTGGACCCACCAGGCAGAGATGCAGACCTTGCATTTGCTATTTTGAGACTTTAATAGGCAAGTGATAACCTTCTTAATTATAAATGAAATGAGCAGCTGAGGGGGAGAGCAAGGAAAAATATTGATGAGCCATTTCTCTGGGATAAGCAATTCTGTTCTATTTACCAGCCCCTTTGAAAACCAGTGAAGTAAATCCAAGTGTGTCAGGAAAATGGAGAGTAACTGGGATGTGAGATGAATGCCTGAGTAGCTGTTTCTATTTTTATTTCAGGGATGGGAATCAGGTTTCTTTTTTCCCCCCCTTGTGATGGGTGATGTTGTGAGCTCTCATCAGATCCTCCAACTGCTCAGGCAATTCCAGCTACTGTTGCTTTATAATGCCAAAGGGGGAATTGGATGTTGGGAGAGCCCTTAAATTGGAATGATCATGGAGGTTAATAGCAATCCAGTGCTGCCTGCTTGCTGTTTTCCTCTTGAAGGCAGTAATACATTTTAAAATGGCATTATTTATTATAATTGCACGCTGTAGAATCCTCTGACTGGGTCAGCAGTTGGATACACACAAACACTGCTGGAACTCAGCCTGTAAATGCCAGAGGGCTCCCTCAAAGTGACATTTGTACGTTGCCACCACCTTTTGGAGCTAAAAACAGATCAAGAAAATCACTCAGGTGTATTAATAGCAGCAGAGCTTGAAGTGCTGTTTCAGTTCCTGCTTTTCCTGGAATGGGCTGAGTGCTGGAAGATGCTGCAGTGAATGGATACACTCACAGATCCTCTCTTTTCCCAGGTTATTCCTCTGCACCTCCCACCTGCTTTTTCTTCTGTGGAAATTTTTCATCTGCACCATATGGCAAAAATCAAATCCAGTCCCTGAAAGGTAGGCAAGTCCTTGTAAACAGCCAGACGTGTGCACTGAATTAAAATAACGATGGCAAACAAATGAAGAGAGCAGAAAACAAACCCTTATTTTTTCATGGCACTGCAGCAGAGGTGGGATTTCACCCAAGGTGTGTTGGTTTCTAACCAGGTGTCGTGTCCTGTTTTTCCCAGGTTCTTTGAAAGCTCTGGCAGATATTATATGTGAATATCCCAGCATCCATAAAAGGTACAGAGCAAGGGAAAAATCTGTTTATTTTGTGAAGCTTTTAATTATTTGAAGAAGCTGAGAGTTACCCTATTTTCTCTGTCTTGTGAGCCAGCTGTGATCAGATAAAAAGCTGGTTTTGTAACAGGCCTGCAGGTTTGTTTGGGAGCAGGATAAGTCTGATTTTATCTAAAATAACTTGGGCATGGAAACTGCTAATGAGGGAGCCAAGGGCTCTCCCTGGGATACTTTGCTGGCTCCTGCTCTCTGAATTCAGAACATCAGACCTAGTTTTTAGGATCAGTTTATACAAAAGAGATTTGTTGAACTTTATTTTTTATTTTTTGCAGTAGTCGATTTGTGTTTGTCCCTGGTCCTGAAGATCCTGGGCCTGGGTCTATTTTACCAAGGTCAGTTTGCTTCCTTTCCTCAAGTCTTGGAATTTTGAGTGAAATTTGAGTTAAAGATGGTAAGAGTCTTTGCTGATACCTCTGCTATTTATTTTAGACCTCCCTTGGCTGAAAATATCACTCAGGAATTCAGACAGCTGGTGCCATTTTCAGTTTTCACCACAAATCCCTGCAGGTAACCATGTAACTGCTAATATTTTTAAAAATATTTTTTTAAACACTAAATGATGTGCATTAATATCATTTTCAAAACCAGAAATATTACAGATTTTTGGGAAAATTTACATTTTTCAAATCAATAGAATTCTTCAGTTGCATGAATTGTAACTAGTTTTAAATACATTAAGACAGAAAAAAATCAGTGAAGAAATGAAGTAGTGCTAAAAAAATTGATATTGAATATAAAAACTCTGCTCCAAAGCATCATGTTTTTTTCTGAATCAGAAGGGAAAGTATTATTTTCATTCCATTGTCTGTATTAGAGGGAGATCAACTTTGTAATGCATCATTTTTAGGTTAACCTGAATTAATTTCAGTGCTGTTTTCTACTCAGGATTCAATACTGCACCCAAGAAATCATTATTTTTCGGGAAGATTTGGTCAACAAAATGTGCAGGAACTGTGTCCGCTTCCCAAGCAGCAACATGGACATTCCCAACCATGTGAGTGAGTCAAGTCCAGCACTTTTAGCCAAGATTTTTGATTTTATTGATCAGCAGGACTGGATTTTGGGGGTTCTGATCCTCATTCTCGTGACACATTGCACGAGTAACCCAGAGGGGCTGTAAGAAGGATTTATACATTCACTGTTGTTACTTTTCTTCACATTTTGACAGCAAAATAAACCATGATAGTTGAAGGTGGGATTGATTCTGTTACACTGCAGCTGCTCTTGAACACCGAATTTCAGAGCAGCCAACTGTGTGTGCACCAACCATCGATGTCCTGCCAAGAAACACCGATTCCTAAAGGCAAATTTGAATGCAAATTCCCATTTTTGAAAGATTTGATGGGTTACCCAGTGCCATTTGCAGTAAAGCAGCAGGTCACTTTCTCGAAAATTCATCTGCTTGTTTTGTCTCTTCTCTTGAAATTGAAATTCTGCTTCTTTCACATCAGCACAGTGCTCTGGGTTGTGGTTCCACTTAATGAATCCACAGCAGGAGCTGATGGGATTTACTGATTTAATTGGATGAGAACGATCCAGGTAGTCCTGGCTGGTTGCAGTGATGGATGGAGTCTGGTTTTATTTATTTTACAGGAGTTTTTTTTGTTTGCTTGCCTCAGAAAGTTGTTTTAGCTCAGTGTCTCTGTGAACACCCCATGAAGAACCTCGGTTTTGTGGGCACATTTGCATTCCTGACACTTCCCTGTCCTCATCCAGGGTTTTCTAGAAAGGAATCATGAAAGAAATGTAGAATTGCAGCACTTTCTGCAGGTTGTTTTTTGCATACTCCACCTTTCCTCTGCCTTTTTTGCCTATTTTAATTCAGCCATTAGTGTAAATAAATAGAGGGAAATTTTGTCACTGGGAGAGGAAAGTCATCTGGGAATCAAATAATTCCTTCAGTTCTGGGAAAAAACTTTTTAAGTGTGACTCTCATGGTTAACTGGAAAGCAATAAGGAAAATAAAAACCAAAAAATGAAGAGTTGTGGCAGTGTTGGTACATTCTGGGCTGGAGGAACAGGTAAATAGATTCTCCTGGAGAGTCTGATGAGAGAATTTTGACATCTTCAAATACTGGCTGATGTGCTTTAAAAAGGCTTTTGTGTATTAAAACACTCACAATTCAAGAAAGGAAAGAGCAGCTCAGTGCTGGAGGAGAGTCACTGCTTTACTCTTGAAATCATTAATAAACAGAAGGAATGAGATACAAAAAAACCCCCAAACATTTCCAGATTCCAAAAGCTTCTTTATTGTTATTATTACAAACACACTTCATTAAGCACGTGCAGAGACGAACTGAGCTTGCAGCAAATGTTTCAAACCAAGTGTTTGTGGGCTTTTATTTTTTTTACAGTCTGTAAAGACCATTTTATCCCAGGGGATAAATGCTTCAAATGTTTCAAACCAATTTTTTTTTTTACAGTTTGTAAATGCTTTAACTGTTTCAAACCAAGTGTTTGTGGGGTTTTATTTTTTTTTTTTTGCAGTTTGTAAAGACCATTTTATCCCAGGGACACCTGAGCCCGCTGCCACTGAACGTCAGCCCCGTGTTCTGGGCCTATGATTATTCCCTGAGGGTTTATCCCGTGCCAGACCTGCTCGTCACCGCTGACAAACACGACCCCTTCACTGTCACCAACAGTGACTGCCTCTGCATCAACCCTGTGAGACTCCCTGAGCACTCAAATCCCAGCTCCCTCACTCCCTGCACTGCATTTTCCTCACACAAATGTGATTTTTTTCCCCCCTTTTCCTTCACAGGGTTCATTTCCCAGAAGTGGATTTTCCTTCAAGGTGTTCTACCCCTCCAACAAGACAGTTGAAGACAGGTAAATAGATTTTTCTGATGTGCTGAGTTTCTGATTATCAGGCTAAAAATCACAGCAAATTGGGAATATTTGAATATTCCAGCAGCTTCACTTACACTTCACACTTAGGTAGTGTAACAAATCCAAATACTCAGAACTAAAGCAATAAATTTAGTTTCTGATTATCAGGCTAAAAATCACAGCAAATTTGGAATACTTGAATATTCCAGCAGCTTCACTTGCACTTCATACTTAGGCAGTGTAACAAATCCAAATGCCCAGAACTAAAGCAATAAATTTAGAAATTACAAATATCAATGATGGGAAGCACAATCCAAAAGTAAAAGGAGAGATGACTGAACTGGCTGATTTTCAATGATACAGATCTAATTGGGAAGCAGATTTGGGGTTGATGATTACATAAATTAATTAAATTTAGGAACAATTTTTGCTTCATTTTGTGATAATCATCAAGCCCAGAAGCCACTTGCAGGCTTTGATGTCACATATTTTTAAATCTGCACTTGTTCATTCCACCAACTGGAAAAAAGCCAGCTGCAACACCAAAAAAGTATTAAAATGTTTCAAATAATGATGGTATATAACCCATTAGGAAAAGCATAAATTTATCTTCTCCTTGTTGGAAAGGCCTTCCCAGGGAATTAATAATAGGTCAGCCCATTTAACTTCTACTTGACTATAAAAAATATCACACCATGAGATACTTTAGGTCTTTAAATAGTTGAAAACATTATCAAGTCTTTCCAAGATAAAGAAATAGAATAGCATTGTGAACTCTTTTTAAAAGAAACCTTCTAAGTACTGTTTTTCTTCTTTTCTACTGTATTTTCAGCAAGCTTCAAGGACTCTGAATTTTTGTGGCACTGAAAAGCAGTGAACCCATGTGAAGCCAACAGTAGCTCTTATTTTTTACGTGCCTTAGTTTCATTTTGGACTTTTTGTAATAAATGTCCAAGTCAAAACCGAATTGTTTTGTACACAAATAAACTTTTACAGGAAAAGACACTGGTGTCAGTTAAGTTGTAAAGTCAGAATGAAAAATAATTGACAAAACACAAAAAAGGTAAGTGGATGAACCAGCTGCATCAGAACAGGAAATGAGCATCTTTAAAAAAAAAGAATTAAAGAGAACTTGCATTGCTGGTGATCAGAAAGGAAGTTTGGAAATGGGGGAAGGATTTTTCTTTGTCTGGGAAATGCCCAGGGAAGATCTGCAAGGTGTTTTATAATGGCAGCACCTATGTGAAGATGGTGTTATGCAGACAGGACAGGAAGTGCTAAAGGCAAAAACATGATCCTTTAGAACTTCTGGAGAAGGCTGGCAGGAGGAAATCTTGATGGAGAGAAGTGGGAAAGAGCAAAAAACTCAGCCAACCCCTGCTCCAGGCACTTGTGGGCACGGAGAGCAGAGTGGGGCTGCCCCAGGTGCCCAGGCCAGGTGTGCCACAGAGGGGAACCTTTGTGTCACAGCCCGCTGGGCTGGCATGGCCCAGGACAGGAACAGGAGGGACAGCGGGACATGGGCTGAGGGGACACGGGCTCTGAGGGGACAGCGGGGCCGGGATGGAACCTGGGTCCCGTACGAGACTGGACTGCTGATTTAAAAATGCTCTGTGAGGGGACAGCCCTGGAGCTCAGAGCTGTGGGATGGGGACAGAGCATAAACTTTGTTAACGATGGCAACCCAACCCTGCTGATGCCAGGGGTGATGTCCGGAAACCACTGAGGGGAGGGATGGAGAGGCCTCGGCCCTGAGGGACAGCCCGCCATGTTGTTTGCCGTCTCCATAGTAACCGGCGCCCCGACGCCGCCATCTTGTTTACCGTCACCACAGCAACGGCCGCCATCTTGTTCAGCGTCCCCACAGCGGCGCTCCGGGCCGTGCCGGGACCATGGCGGGCGCGGGGCGGCTTCAGGACCTGGACCTCAGCGCCGAGGAGGCCGAGCGGCTCCAGCGCGCTTTCCGCGACGAGCGGTTCCGCGCGCTGTTCGCAGAGTACGCG